TATTTGTTGGAAATATAACATGTACTAATATATTAATGGTCAAAGTATGTCATTGAAGACTGTGTAGAAAAAATATAGGCGTTATAATTTAGGACGGAGGGAGTACATGTTAACTATGGTATAAGTTTATAGATAATACTTAACTCTACTATTAAACTTTCTCTTTAACTCTTACCCTCAGCTTTGCCTAATTTACACCAATATTTTTTTTAAAACACAACTCACTCGACCATTAATGTCTTACTGTAATTTACGAGTCTGTCCATCTATTATTCTAAGCCCCTGTTTGGAATACGGAAAATTTGTACGAATTATATGAGAATTAACTGAATTTCTTGGCTTAATTCGTGTCCACACGTGTCCTGCCGTCATTTTCTTTGACAAAACGTCGGATTACATTTCAGAATATATATACTACCAGTACTTAATTAGTTACGTGGCTTAATAAAACATTTCAATATATAGCACGCAGAAAGTTTTTGTCATCTGAATCAACTTGCGTTGTTGCCGTTGTCAAACGTGTTCAATTACTAATTGCTTTCCGGAGTGATTATTGCCAAACATTCATAGCTAGCGGTTGAATTTTTCGAACGAGATTTTGCAGGTCGATCGAGGTGACATACTCCCCGTTTCTTAAAAATCCAATATAATACTAAATATGATACATTCTAATACTATGATTTATGTCTAAATTCGTAGTATTAGAATGTGTTTTTTTTTCTTTTAAGACGGGGGAGTACGTACAGTTGAGGGATTAACTGGTGTGGTGCGTTTGTATGTGGTTGTAATGTTCAAAGGCGACCTGAATTAAATGATGTGTGATTTGACGCTATGATTTGAACTGTTCATGGTCAATTATGCAGGCTGCAGATAAGAGGGTTTGGTTTCTTGAATCCAATGATCTGATTACTGATGTGAGTTGAGGTAGAGAGGGCTAGTTTTCATCTGCATCGATCAGCAGCCACACTGATTGGCTGATGTCGATGAACAAATAATACTAAAAAGTTGGGTGTTTTTGTTCTTTAAGACTCCACACTTCCAGATAAGTTATGATCCATTCGCGAGTATTTGCAAATTGCTAAACACACATTTTTTTCTGTTTGTTTATAGCCTGGCCCAAACAGCTTAATAATATGTGTATGAAAAGCCAATATAAAAAAACCACGTTGAAAATACACTGCAATTAAAAAATTAAGTTCAAATTTTAAATTTTGGCAACGGTTGATTTGTTGCAGGGCTAACAAACTTGATTGTGTTGATTGAATTACGACTCTGCTGTATTAGAATAGGAGAGCACGCAGAAAATTTAACAGTGGATGACAAGAACTTGATATCTATGAGAAGATGTAACTTACCCATCAGAAAGAGCTAGAATAATTAATTAGGTGATCAAAGCAACATCAGGAAGTCTAATTAATTATTGTAAACTACGACGGAACTGACTTCGCCATCGTCAACAGAAATTTTAGCTGCTGCTTGCACGAATTCCAAGGACGATGATCTGTCAAAGACCCAAGAACGATTCTGCAAAGCTAATTTATAGATCCTGACCAACCAAGAAAAAAACTAACAAAAAACGACACTCCATGGGGAACCAATTTACTTACCACAGAAAAAAAAACCTAGCTAATTAAAACTATTTTTAGAAAAAAAAACGGTTTCAATTTTGCAAGGAAGATGAATTACTCCATCCTCAACCTCTGCATCAAGGCTACCCAACCAAAGTTCCTGTAACCAAATAAATGAGAAAAAAAACAGCGTGGCAAAAATTCCGTATAAAATAGATTAAGCGCAAAAATGAAAACGCAAGCTAAGCACGTAGCTTATTAATAGTTCACCGTTCAAAATGGATGAAGAAGCTCATGATGATCAACTGTAAGTGTGCTGCTTCAATAACCACAGTACATTGGTCCTCCTGACGATCAAATATGGAGCCAACTGATACTTATAAATAAATCATTGCGCAAGGCCAAATTGACCAAACTAAAAAAGCAGTTATTAAAATATTTCTATGCACAATAATCATTAGAATTTAGAATAAAAATAGAAAAACTGTAGAAATACAATAGGAAGAGTTTTACGTCAGAAACATAATTAAATAGTGGGTTTCAGATCCATATATCCTACGTGTAGGTCATTCTTACCTGCGATCTCTAATGTTTAACAGTTCTTACACTTTATCAACGATAAAATTCCATAATTTTGTTCTCCAGTGAGCTGCATGCGGTCGATGGATCCAAAACAGCAGTCGTTAATTCTTTCTCTGGATTCTTCTTCGTCTTCCACTAAATTCTACCGTATTTCTACACGCAACTTGTTGCTGATCGTTTTGTTACACGATGATATATAGGAGTATGTCTACTCTTTCCATTCAAAAAAACAAATCTAAAACTGAATGTAATATATTCTAGTACAATAAATCTGGATAGAGATATGTCCAGATTCATATAACTAAGATATGTCATATTAATTAGTTTTTTATGGGACGGAGGGAGTATGTATCATGTGTGGTGTGAAACCATCAGACTGATTTCTGCTATTGTTTTCCTTTCCCAGTCTGGTCTAACCCCAATCCTGGGGTGCATCCAGGTATGGCTGGCACATGCTTAATTAGAAGCTTAATTACCAGTTACCACCAACCACTTATTGACCTAATAAAAGCACCCAAGACCAGAGAGCTCACAGTAGATTCTAGAGTCCAGCTGATAACCTGGTAGGGTCAGTTTAAAACACATAATTTCAAGCTTTGATAATTGTGGGATATCCCGAATCTGCTCCTCTATCATATAAACATGATTTAATTTCGTTGGTCTGAATAAACCTAGCTAATAATTGGTAATGTACTCTTGGAGAAAAATTGCGAAGACTATTGTACTGAATTATCCATATGATTACAGATGTAAATTAAATATTTTGTTAATAAACTTAACAAATATCTTAGAAAAGGGATATGAGCAATGCAGTAGAAGTATTTTTTTATGAAAAATCATATTTTCAAGATAAAAAACATATTTTCAAGATACGTAGAACAAATAATCCGCAACAATGATCCGATGAAGTGGCTCAAGAGAACTTGTCACAAATATTCTAAAAGAATTTGTATATGAACTTCCAATAATATTGCATACTACTCTAAAGACTCATTGTTAAATCCATCATACATAGAGGGAGTGAGAGAAAAATTCTAGCATATTTATATACTATTAAAACTGACATTTTTTATTCTTTTAGGCTAAATAATAATAAATTTTAACATCATAATATTGAAAGTACATGTAAATTTTCCAAAAAAGAAATCGTAATATTTGTTAGTTATTGTGCATGATGTAATGTATCCGAAGTAAGTGTGCATACGATAAGTTTCCATGCTACTATGCATGTCACATGCATTTGTCATTTATTTGAAGTTGATAAGTTCGGATGATTTTCTGGGAAGTTAAACTAATTACATGGAAATGTTGTAAAATTACTGCATTCAGAGGAAGCTTAATATGTACTCCCTCCATCCCAATATATGTGCACCTTCTAGATTAGTAGTTTTAGGATATGACACATCCTGTCTTAGATCTAGCTATGTTGCTGACCTTAGGTTCCCTTTGTACGAAGGATCGGCAAAGAACTTCAGAACGATTCAATTTTATTTTGACATTTCCCCCCTAAATCCCTTTGGTTTATAGGAAAGAAAGAAAATAACTATGGATTACATTCCTCTGGCTCAATTTTATGTGGGGGGGGGGGGGGGGGAATAAGAAAGAGTCCTAGCCTCTTAGAAATTTTACTTTGTTTTATTTCTTGTGATATCCTAAAACTTATGGAGAAATAAAACAAAATTCAGAGCAAGAATAAAGCAAAGTCATATACAGATAAGTCTATGGCTTACCTAGTCTAAAACTCAATTGGTACTGTCAGTGATGCTCTTACGAGCAGGAGGAAAAAAAAACAAATACTTGCCCGTTGTGTCGAGAAGAAAAGGCGGCTGTGGTTTTGGATAGGGATGTTCATCAACGGTTTTCTCAACTTGTTCAAAACCGGAGACGAGTAATGTTAGTCAAGTAATTAGCTTAGCCGCCTGTTGGACACACGCACACACAACTACAAAAACGACTATAGCTAAATTTGGACATTTTGTTCAAAACCGAAAACGAACAGGTCATAGTCTGAGATAAAGGATGAGCAATATCCATCCAAATGTCCATCCATCAGGTTGTTAAATTATTGGATTTCACATGTGACCCCGGGGGGGGGGGGGGGTCACAACCATGAGCTCCGAAGATGAAGTCAACAGACAACAGTACAGTAGTAGGACGGTGAGTGAGTCCCCAAATCCCAAGGTATTTTCTCATCTCATCATGCGAGTGCCTTTGCACCTTTCAGGCAAAGCAAAATGGCAGTTCCCTCCTCAATTTTCTTCCGAAAAAGAGGCGCCGGAGACCACAAGACGTGCCGCCCAACAATGTGGATTGCTGCCATGTTATCACTTAATCTATCCAGATCTTGTTCAGTCGTAGTAGTAGTCCTACATATGCAGTCCAGTTCATGGCCAGGACCACCACCGCTTCGGCTGCTAGCTTCCCAAGAGTGGCAGACAGCTACATACAATTCAGGCCCATACAATTATCTTTTCCTTCTTCTCTTTGATTATATCTCCAACGATTAGATTATTACAGGAAGAAAGTTTGTTCAGATTAGCTGCTAATAGATGATGCATTGGCCATGTCGCCGAAAAACGGCCAGCTTTTGTTTTTGTTTGGACCCCAGCTTCCTGTTGACTGCTGTTGCTGCTGCTCACACGTCAGAATCCTTCAAAAGAAACCACACTTTGTCACGCGGAGACGCCTCGTATTCTCCCTCACATGGCAGGATCACATATCATCAAAAGTTAGGCCGCCCATGGAGTCAGAAAATCTGAATAATTCAGAATTGACAACACGCACACAGATGCAAATCCTTCCAGGACTGTCCAGTCAGCATCTTGGTTTTGCAGGGTAGGACCAGCAGTGTAAAGAGAGAAGAATGAGACCTCACTTTCATTGACAGCTCAAGGAGAACTAGGATAGGAGCTGCATTTCAGCTGGTTTGACATTGGACTTGCCTGTCATGACAGATGGCCCATGCACCACAGGCTGTAACATAACATGGCAAGACCAGAGCTCAAGCATGCAACATGAAAGGTATTGAGCAGATCAAAATTACTACCAGGCTACGGGTTGCTTTCTGCGCGAAATTACATTTTGGCTTTCCCCTGAACCGCATAGAGGGATTCCGGATGCCAAATTGATATAGGATCACCACCTAACTAGAATGACCATCTGCCGCATCTCATCTTATGGGTGGTTACAACTGGTGAGAAAATGACCCATAAGCACCGGCAGCAGCTTTGTGCTTTTGCACAACGACTAATGGAAGTTGATATCAGTACACTGGGGGTAGATAGATGCCGAACGATGGCAGGAACGGGGCATCAGTACCTGTAGCCGCTGTCAGCACCATATTTGCTTCTGATGTTGTAGGGATCATACTTTGGGTCACTGTAGTCTGCGGGCTTCACTTCCGCAGGCTTGGGCTCCGGATGACTAGTCCCATAAACAGCTTCCCCACTCTTCTCCCGGTGGCGGTGGCGTAGCCGATCTTTTGGGACCTTTGAGCTCACTTGAGGTGTTTCGGATGAACCGTAGAACTCCGCGTATTCCTGCCTCTTGGAGGACCTGTGCTTGCTTGACAGCGTAGAATCCCTAAATTTGGATGATTTGACACTCTTCTGGGCCTTCGGTGCTGTTTCGTTTACTGGGTTAGGACCATGGAGTGTCTCGGGTCTCATTGGAGTGCTACTTAACTTCTGGGCTACTGGGGTCTCCTCTGTGTCTTCAGGCATCACAAGCCTGTCTTTGAGTGGAGTGAGGTCTGTTTTTCTCTTCCCATGTTGCAGGCGTGATGGGACGAGCCTGAGAAGCTGATTCCCCACCCCTTCAATAACAAGTTTCAGTAGATCACCAATAAGAGTCCCAAGAGAAGGCCACCCAGCACTTGGCTCCTCTTTCAGGCTCTCCACAACCAAAGGTGGCTTTCCCACGGTGCTGCTCTCCTGATGCTCATCTTCAGGTGCTTCGATCTGCAATGGCATCCACACAAACTACTATGTAAATAGTGGGTTCAAATTCATGAAACAAATACTGGGGATTCTCTGCTTCAGTCCATTGTAACTGAAAGCAAGAACCTGATAATAGTTTAAAGTGACTAAGAATTCTTCATAACAAAGCTTCAAGAATACTGATACTGCAAAATGCAAGTGAAAAGGACCAACTGAAAGCCAAAATCCAGCATATAAAAAGACAACCGAATCCCAAAATGTAACAAACAGAAAACACTACCTTTTCAGCAGTTGATGACCCAAATCCATGTTGCACAACAGAGAAAATATATCCGGCAACAACAGCACCAATGACCAATATGATATCTGTGAAAATAAACAAAATCAGTGATCAAGTCTAGACATGTTCTTTTTCTTTTGAAAAATGGTACATAAACTGCAGCAAGAAGTGAACTAATGATAAAAACTAACATGTTCAACAGGTAAATGAACATGAAAATAATTGTAAATCCCTACAGCTCTGGTGTCATACAGTCATAATTTAAGATAAGTTAGTGTAGAAATATAAATGATTCAGCCAGAAACACAAACACAACACCAACTGCATTATTACCTCTAGAAAAAAAGAGTCTCTTAGGGATTATGAAAAAAAACTAGTCATTTACTCAAGTAACTCAGCTTTCTAAACAAGATTTATCATGCAAACTCCAAAAGTCTAAATAGAGGAAGAGGCCCAAAATATGATATAAAATTACAGATGGCTCACTAAGAAAGCTGCAAATCACTGGCCATAGCATGCCCATCCACAATTTATTTGATACTATTATGCCAGTTCCAGGATGGCATATCTCGTTATAAATGGTTGAGAAAGTCATGGTCTATACTACACTTGTATTCAATCAACAAATTCATTTATAGCGATCCGTATGTTCAAAAGATCTGCTACAGACTATGTTTTCTTATGGCGCGTGCTAGATCTACATTACTGATATGGCACTAATAATATTACTTCTGGTTCAACTTGACAAATCAGTATGCTACCATAGAATTATAAATACAGGGATACATGAAGTAAAAAACATCTAGCAATTTTACCAACTTCCAATTCAGATATCATTTCACATCACAACTTTAAAATAATAATAAAAAAATCAGAACGCATGTATTGGGACCAAAGCGGTCGAGTGAGCCACACTTGATGTAAAGAAGAAAACTGTGTGGTGATCAATTAATCATCCATAAAAATTCAAGGATAGCACCACCAAACAGAATTAGCACAAAACTTAAAATAAGGCCCGGAAACCCTTTTCTTGTTCAAAACTGCCTCAAATATTCAGCCAGCTAACTCCTCTCTCTCTCTCTAACATAAACAACATTTTCTTAATGTTCTAAAGAACATGACGGATAGGACAACAAGCAAAAACATCTAGATGTAAAGATTACAAACATAAAAAGTAAAAATAGGAGAATGGACCTGACGATAGAAGAGTTGCATCCTGGTAGGTACAATCTTCTTGCGGAAGGGCAATTTTCCTAAGTGCAGCATTTCCACGGTCAATAACCAGCAAAGAGCACATTTTCTTCACATATACCACATCAAAATCAGTAGAGAACTTTGCATCTTCACTTGGACCATCCCTATAACCTGGGATGTTTGATTTTCCACCAGCAATGGTGGTCACTCCTGCACAGAAAGTTCATTCACTTCATTCGCCTAGTACTAACACAGAAATAATGCATAAAATACATATGTCATCCTTCTGTTTCTAAATAGCTGTCACATTTGGCTTTCACAGTTCAAACATCGACCAATAATAAATTTAAATAATTAATTAGGTAAAATGAAAATGAACTTTCATATTTGCATACAAAGTACAATAATAATACTGTACATGTAGGTATTTACATATATATTGCAAACAGAGGTAAGAGTTTGTATTAGGTCAAAAGTCACAGCTGCTTTGAGAACAGATGTAACATTAAATTGTAGCACACCTGATTCCCCAATCTTCCGAATTGCTAAGTTTGCTGTATCAGCAACATAGACATTTCCTGTATCATCCACGGCAACGCCTGTGGGGCGTTTGAATCGTGCATCACTTGGTTTGCCATCTATATGGCCAGAATGCCCCTGGAAAGAACCAGCAACCAGTCTTCCTCTGCTATCTGCAGAGGTTGTAATATCAGTCCCAGTATCTAGTATCTACACTACTAGTACTAGATGATATTCCCCTGAGCACAAACAAATGTGAAGTTCTCTCTCCATCTCTCACTACCTGAAAACCGATTTTATGCATGGATTCCTAAATTCAGTAAAAAGAAGGTATTCCTAAATCTTCGAAATAGATGACATTATTTTCATGGAAATATCAATTATTTAAAAATTGGTATATAAATTCATTAGAGCTACATAAGAAGAAAATGAAAAAAAAATATTTGCATATATGCTTATTAGCCACTGATATGTTTAACAAAGCTAATTTTAAAGTTTCATGCCTTTGGGGAAAGAAGGAACAAACTCTGATCACTCCTAAAAACAGTCCGCTGGATGACACACCAAAAAATGTTCCATGTCATATATTACATTCATATTTAAAATAACCAAGGAAGCGCTGAGCTGAGGATGGCAAGAAGAAAACATACACTCGGACAGTGGCGGAGTTATTCGCACAATGTTGCTATGTGCCGAGTCCACTGCAAGGAGCTCTCCACCCTCAACAGGGGACACCCTAATGGTGTGTGGCGTGACGCCAAGCTTGTCCCCTTCCACGAGCGTCTCCACAAAGTAGCCGCTCTCAAACTGCAGAGCCACACCCCCATCTGCCGCATCAGAGAAACACCATCAGCATACAAGGACACAAAATAATGATAATGAAAAAACACGTGCTGTCCACAAACACATTCACTAAATAAAATGATGCACTCTGCTAGATCTGGAAGCCCCTAAGTTCACTTTAGTGATGTGAGGATGCATGAAATTGAACATAGGCAGTAAACATTGTTTTGCTTAGGTCACACGCACAGAGTGGCATTTGAACTCAAGTAAACAAAAATGCAAGCATAGACAATATAATACAAAACACTGGGTATGTTTGGTGAGCTTGGTCATCTTAAGAATACTCTGGTTAAACTCACTTCCTCACAAGAGACACCACCCAACATACTGATACTAACACACTTGCTAATCAGTAATCACAAGGTAAGTCGTCCGAACTGCAGAAAGCCAGAAACAAGCAAAAATAACCTAATAAATCGTCAAATCACCACTCCGCCAACTAATCGAACTTGCGCTGCTGACTACTACTACTAGTAAATAAACCCTGGAACAGTAGCAACTAGCAAACCAAGTCGGCAGCTATGGCGCTCACCGTACTGCGGGTGCGAGGGCTGCTTGTGCCCGTGCGACGACGACGACGACGACGAAGGAACCCGCGGCCATTTCACCACCGACGACAGCTGCCTCACGATGCTATCTGCAGAAAATCCCCCCCACAAAAACAATGTCAGGATCGAATATATCCCCGCCCATTGCACGCCGCCGCCACCCCCAAACAAACCGCGGCGCGGCGGGAGAAGAAGGTGGCTGGGTTGGGCGGGCACCTGCCGGCGACGGGAACGCGGCCGCGTCGGTGTGGACGGCGGCGAGGGAGAGCACGAGGAGGAGGAGGAGGAGGAGGGAGGCCATGGTGGGGAAATGGAATCTCTCCTCGCGATTCGGCTGCGTGAGAGAGAGAGAGAGAGAGAGAGGGGAAGGGGAGGGTGGCGGAAAGGAGTTTTTTTCTCTCCTTTTCTTTTTTTTTTTGTTTTTGCGGGGAAGCGGCGGGGTGGTGGACTGCTGCTGGTGTAAGGTCGGTGATTAAATGCAGGCAGCAGGTGGTAGCAGGCAGTGATGGCACTGGACGCTGCTGATCGATGCTGCGCTGCTACACGAGCGTGTCTTTTGGCACAATGCGTCATCTTGTGTTCAGAGATGCGTCAGGATGAGTTTTTGATTTGTTTTAAGTTTAACTAAATCTATAAACAAACATAGTATCACTTATAATATTTAATTAGTTTCATCAAATCAATAATTGAATATATTCATAGTAAATTTAACTTGGATTAAAAATGTTATTATTTTGTTCAAAAGCTTGGTCAAACTTAAAAAAACAGTTTGACTTTAGCTAAAATTAAAACGTCTTCTAACCTAAAATAGAGAGAGTGCTAGATTGGGTTCTACTTTTTCAGCTAATCGAACATGGGATTATCACGGGTCACACATTCTAATCTATAGTAACATTTTGTAAAAAGAAAAAAAAAATACTCATCAGTATTCATTGGTACAAGTGTTTTTTTTTAAATAAGAAATTTAAACTTTCGAACTAAATTTCTAAACTAAACACACCGTTATCTCTCTTTTTATTTAGCTACTAGTTCTTCCTCCGTCGTAAAATATAATTACTTAACATCAGATTAGACATATTTTAATATTATAAATTTTGATATGAGCATGTGATATGTTCAAATTCATAGTACTGAAACGTGAAACGTATCTAATTTGATTCTATATTAGGCTGTGTTTAAATCTAGGGGTGAAAATTTTTGCCGTGTCACATCAGATATATGGACACACATTTGAAATATTAAACGTAGTCTAATAACAACAAATTACAAAATCCGCCAGTAAACTGCGAGATGAATTTATTAAGCCTAATTAATCCGTTATTAGCAAATGTTTACTGTAGCACCACATTGCCAAATCATGGAGCAATTAGGCTTAAAAGAATTGTCTCGCAAATTAGTCGCAATCTGTGCAATTGGTTATTTTTTAGCCTATATTTAATACTTCATGTAGGTGTTTAAACGTTCGATATGACAGGGCGTAAAATTTTGGGATGTGATCTAAACACCCCCTTACTTACGGATGCTGTCTGCGTATTCACTCAATAATAAAATCTCCGACTTTTCTTTTGGGTTTTTGGCAGCACGGTGATGATTTAAACCACGTATGATCAAGCCCTAGGAGCTTAACATAAAGTTGGCAAGGATAGAGTGGGCCTGGTGCAAAATGGGCCTAAATAATGTCATAACCCAAATTAATTTGCTGACCGGCCCATGCATTCCCAACTCCTAACCTTGCTTTATTCGTAGATAAAGCAAATGTTGATGAGTGATGGCCGTGCTCATGGACTCATGGTACAATTCAAGCGCACAAACGACAACTAGCCCGAATTAGTGGCCGGTTTTAACGTAAGCAAGCTGTTTTCGTTCTTACAGGGAGGCAAAAGGCAATGTCTAGCTTAATTGGACTTTAATTTCTTCAAATGTTGTACCTTTGCAATCTTTACAGCAAAGCATTAGGCTGTGTATGTAGATGACGAGTGTCGAAACAAGATTTCGGCAATAAAAAAGGATGGCTATCAAGCAGGAAAAATGGATGGGTTTGAAGACAAGAGATTTATACAGGTTCAGGGCCTCTCAATGAGAAGTAATACCCTACTCCTGTCCGGGGATTGATCCGCCGAGTGTATTATTGATCGTATGATCTGGGAGAAAAAGTTATGCCCCAAGAGGCATCCGAACCCCTCCTTATATAGGGGGAGGAGTCCGTATTACAAGATACATCCCATATTCCTAACGGAATAGACGGATAAAGATAAATTACAATCGTAACCGACTAAGATTCTCGGATATTTCCTTGATACACAAGTTAGGAAATTAATCCAAGTCCTTTAAAGATATTCTATCTACATATAGTACCCCTATACCCAGTCAGATATACATGTCATGTGGGTATGGGGTATCCATAATCTTCACAACGAGTTTAAAGAGCACCGACTAATTTACTTCTCTTCACGTGCGTTGAATATTGTACATGTTACAGTAGCAGAGAAGCAAGGTTAATTTGTTCGAATTATCACTATTTCCATTTAGGGGGAAAAAGGGTCTCGTTCGAATTTCTCCCCATGCACACACACGGGGAAAACAAACATATGCCTTTGTACCACTGGGACAACAACTAAATCCACAGAATTGTTACCTTGACAGAAATTCAATTGCTAAAATCGTGCAATTTTTTAGTCGTCGGATGTTGTCTAAGGTTCACTCTGGCCATGCTATCCACGCTAAGATTCGTGCATGGCAAGGAAAGATAAATTTATTCTTTTGGATATTTTGCACATTTAATTTGTTCATTGCCAAATAAATGCTACCACTCTCACGAATAAATTACTTGTTCTTCTGGGGAAGCACCAGTGGTGTGGTGGTAGAGTCGTGGGTGCGTAACTCTACCCACTATGGTTCAAATCCTGGTGCTCACAAAAATTACGCATATGCAAGTTGGTTTTCAACAGAACTTTAGTGAGATCAGTATGTGCCGCTGGTTTCCATCGCTTAGAGCATGTGCTAGGGGACGCATTCGCGAGGGTGTGAAAATGGTGTTGCACGTGTAGTGGCGTGTGTGCGTGTAAGTCTGTCGTGTAATTAAAAAAAACTTGTTCTTTTGATACCAATTGTATGAAGATCAACAAAGAGTCATTCGCTATTTCTTTTTTCTTAATTGCGCGGTGCACAAATCGGCTCTATTTCCAATTTTTTTCCAATTATTTTCTCGCTAGCTAGAGAACAGTATCAAATCAAAAGTGGCTTCCTCCACATAGAGAAGGAATTAAACAAGCTAACATAATTCCAAGATACGATGCGAAAGAGACGAAATGATCGATCGACCGGCCGGATCGATCTATGTCATATATATGCATGCATGCGTATGTTTTATATGTATGTACATGCCAACTTGCAAGAAACTCATCGCTTTATTGACCGAAAGCAAGGAACCACGTGTAACCACTCCTCTCTCTTTAATTTCTTCTTCCCTTGATTCACCAGCAATTTAATTATTACCTTCTAACTACCAGCACACACACATATTAGCTCTGCCTTCACGTACCAATTAAACATCTCTCTCTCTCTCCTAATTGCATTTTTATTGCTCTCTTCTTTTGTGTGTCAGTGTGTGTGTGTATATATATATGCCCCCATTTCTCGATCAATGCAATCTATCGCCACATTTGAAAACCTCTAGGGTCAAATATAAACTTAAGATCGATCATATTTCATATAGTTAACTAGCTATAGTTTAGTAGTGTGAATATATTTATTGCCTATATTAATATATACTACTCCAATATGCAAGCGATGATGAGCTCGAAGAAGCTCTTAGCTCTCATTCTGGCCATGGCGGCCATGGCCGCCGCCGGCCTAGCCTTCCTGCAGGCGAGCGCAGAGGAAGGAGCAGCAGATGATCAGCGCCGGCATGCCATGGCGTCGGCGGCGGCGGAGGTGCCGTGGCGCCGCGTGCTTCGCCATCGGCCGGGGAGGAAGGAGCACGGCGGCGGCGGCGGCGGCGGGGATGACGGCGACGACGACCTCGACTGGCGGTCATGGCGCATCCCGCCGTCCGGGCCGAGCAGCCGGGGGCACGTCGCCGTAGACGCGGACGCGCCGGAGAAGGAGAAGAAGACGGCGACGGTGGGCGGCGGCGCGCCGTAGCTGGCCTAGATCATCATCATCTGTTCATCTTCCGTGAGCAGGGTAAGCTTGCAATAATGGGCAATGGACGCTTGGTATGAATTAAGAATTAATTAATCGATTAATTACATGTCTTAATCAGTATATATCCGTGTGTCCTGTGTACGTGTACTCGTATAAATATACGTTTGGTTGCATGATGTCAAGTACGTATACTATTCAAGTGTTTATGTAAAAGATCTAAAAAAGAGATCAATGGAGTACGTGCTCACATGTATATATTTTGTGGTTTTTTTTTCTTGCTTTTCTTCTTTTGCGTGGATGTACTTTATATACACGTATATATGTGTTGTGTGTTTCTGTACTGTACCGTCTCTAGATTAAGAGAAATTAAATGTTATCAAAATTAAATATATTTATCAGAAAAAGTAAAAGCGCTGTTCAGTTGCTTAGAGTGAAAGAAGATTAGATTTGCTGACGAACTTAGGATAGGTAAGAAGAAAGGGAAAGCAAGCATTGAGCCGGAGGTTGAGGAGCAAAGGCAAGTTATGTCTATGCAATTGCATGCTGGCAACCATGGCACAATAACCATGCATGATAGATAGCTTTGGTGCCACGACGCGGCTAGATTTCTCCATACACGAAAACGAAACATGCCTGTTGAACAGTACCAAAAGATGTTGACAAGTTATTGGCTAGGAGACTAGGAATGTTTGTCATATATTGGTCATATGTTCATGAGTTTCACTCTATCTATTTTATTCATATCTTTGAGTTTTGTCTCGTTGGTATCTATCTATTATATACTAAAAGACCATTAAACTTCCTACAAACACTCTCAAACCGCCACGTGGCATCCTAAAAATACTCCCGAGTCGCCGCGTGGCATTCTAATAAAATAGAGAAATCTGACCATCGATTTTCACTTAAATAGATGGGCTCATTATTTTGGATCATTAGATTATCTTTAACGGAAAAAAAAACTCCTGCCGTCCCTACCTCCGTGCAGGATGCGTATTGTACGCTCCCTATCTTCCCTTCTTTTTTTTTTATCTTTGTTTCTTTCTTCTTTTTCTATCCTTATGAAAAAAATCCCTACAAATAGACATCGTACGAGTAAGTCCATTAAACTTTTTAAAAACACTCTTAAGCCACCATGTGGCTCCTACAAACGCTTCTGAGCCGCCACGTGACGCTCTGATAAATTAGAGAAATCTAAGAAATTCCAGAAAAAAAAAGAAAACATCGTACCATTTATTTTCTCTTTACACACCATTAGATCTATATATGTAAAAAAACAAATGTCACGTACGTCCACA